TTTTAAAAAATTCTAGTAAGAGTTTTACGGCACTTGCAACACAATTAGGTCATTTCTATATATATATGTGCTGAAGATAAGAGGCATCAGATTAAGTTTCAAGAGTAGAGTAACAAACACAAAAACGAGGGGGAGAGATAAGGACGATAGATGTCTGAGAGGAAAGAAGAAGCAGATCACACAAGAGCACCGCCAACCACCCACACTGAAGAAAACGAGAAAATGAAACGAGCGTACTGACAGTGACATATAAAGATCACAACTATACATGTAACAATACAAAGGGCCAGAAAAAGACTTTCAAATTCACAAACTGATTTTATTTGCAATTTCCAAACAATATCATGCATCCCTCTGTGTTCAAATAACATATATATGCAAGCAAATAATGTGCACACACCCACTCACACACAAACACACCCAGTCAAATACACAAAAGCATACAAACACAAACCCACAAGCATACAAACAAATATACAGACACACAAACACATACATACTAAATACATACATATGCACATCATGTTATCATACTATACACACATGCATAAAAAAATATACATTTTTCTTCATGTTTTGATAAATTTCATAATCTTTGCACAACTTTCTCTTCATACCTCACACTAATAATATCATAATTCCAAACAATGCACACACTCGTGACATTTCCTTGCAAAAGTTATTAAACATTAATGTACAATGGGCTTTGATCATTACGAAGATATAAAATGCTTAACCCCAAGACACTAAGGCAATTTTACACATATGTATGAACACATACACGTTCACTGAACAAATTCACAAGCTCACACATACAATTTAGCAAGTAAATAAAAAAAACAACCCACACACACACAAAAAAAAGAAACCCCAGAAAGATATCTTATACAGTACATTTGTACATAAATGCACACGTTTTTAATTCCATAATTGAGAGGCAGCGTGGTGGAATCAGGCTCTCGTCAATTTTTGGGGATGTAGAGTTATTGGTATCATCTTAAAGCTTGTTTACTTGTCTTTATTTGGATGAAAGAAGTATCCATTTATCTTGAATACAAGTCGAGATATTTGCGAATGAAGGAGGTGGGGGTCACCTGTTTTCAGAGGTAAAATTAGTGAGAAAATAGCCGCCAAAGATTAGTTATAATCTTAGCTTAAGAGTCTGTGGTAACTGAAAATTTACATTTTTTGTTCCTTTAATCAACGTTTTTATGACAAATCCACACAGAAATGAGTTCTTTAATGGACATGAAAGGTGTTGAGCAAAAAAATAAAAATTCGATAAAAATTCACAAACCTGCGGAAGAATGCAGGTTTCTTCACTTTGATTATTTTGACGAGAGCCTGATTCCACCACGCTGCCTCACAATTGTTCCTGAACACATTACAAGGTCTTGTACGTTTCTAAAAAAGACAAGATAAGACAAACCTTTATCGTCCAGATGCTGGCACGTTGGTTTGGCGTTTCACCCCACACACACAAATGCGTTTACACACATACTCTCTTCTACAGACACATACATTTACTCATAAACACATTTAATTTAAATACATGCTTAATTAACTTACCCTCACAAATAGGACTGACCCACGCATACAGTCATAAGATAAGCGTGGAGCAAAGTAAACACATTCACACACCCACAAATGGAACAAAGTAAACACACTCACACACCCACAACTGGAACAAAGCAAACACACTCACACACCCACAAATGGAACAAAGTAAACACACTCACACACCCACAACTGGAACAAAGCAAACACACTCACACACCCACAAATGGAACAAAGTAAACACATTCACACACCCACACACCCACAACCAGTCATTTCTGATAGTGTCTACACAGGAATGCATGAACACAGGAATGGAAGCTCATAACTAGGTTGAATTTTTGTTTTGTTTGCTTTAACAGTAAGCGTTTTACCGCACTTGTTTGTAACACAATTAGGTCATAAGTGCTGAACATCGGAGGTATCAGTATCACTTGCAACACAGTTTACAATTCGGTCATATAAGTGTCGTCAAACATTAGAGGTGTTACAGGAGAGTAACAAACACACAAAAAAAAAAAAAAAAGAAACAAAAAAGAGAGAGATTTGGACAACAGATCGTCCCCTCAGCAGTTTTTTTGGTCCAAAGTTTTACTTAAATACACTTTGGACAAAACAATTCTGAGGCGACCAAATGTTCGATAGCAAAGAAGGAGCAAACCAAACAAGAGCACCTGTCAACCACCCACTCATAATTTGTAGCCTTTGTGGGTGTACGCTCAGAGCCTGTGTACTTTATTTGGGGTTGAGCGCTATATAAATGTTATTTATTATTATTATTATTACGCGGAAAGTCCTAGAATACAAAAGGAGGTCACCATTAAAATTCAAAAAGTTTTACGTTCCCACTGACACAATTTAGGTCATTTAGGAGGTGGGCTGCTTTGACACACTATTACCATGTTTGGACCTACCCAAGTTGAAAATTAAAAGGGTACAACGTCCCAGCAGACAGATGGAAATACTCAATAAAAAAAAAACAACTCTCTCTATTCAGGGATCGAACTAATGTCTTTTGGGTGCCAACACAAAGCACGTAACAACTAAACCACAGATATCAGTCAGGTCCACTTACTCACTCACTCAGTCCCAGAATCATGGACACCCTTTTCAAAACGAAACCAGATACAAATAGCATAATATTATACAGTAGAACACGGATAGTTCGAATTCGCAGGGACCGGCCTCCTTAGTTCGAGGGATATCTTACAAAGATAAAGAAAAAAAAACCCCAAAGGGACCGCAGGCACAGTTCGATGGATGCATGATTTCGAGTCTTCTGTGTTCGACCTATCAGTGTCACACTGTATTATATTTCATTATACATTTGAAAAAATACACTTAAAGCTGGTTCACTCCTCTTTTGAAGCAAAAAAAAAAAACAACCCCTTGGCCCCAGCATCAAAGTTTTAATTATTATTGCACATTTGATACCAGTCACGCACAGATAACACGGAACATGGACAACTCAAAATCACGGATAGCTCTTACAATTTCCCCTTCCCCGACTAATGCTAATATCTTTTACTTTTCGTTATAATATCGGTTCACCTGATCTATGGCTTGACCTTAAAAAGGGATATAATTATGAAATGAATGAGTTGAACACAAACGCCAATCCCCGATCTGTGTTTTTGGTTATCCGCACCCAACTGTATATTTAGGGAGTAGAGTATCTTCTCACAAAGAGAAGGAGCAAAGGCTGATTCAAAACAACACCCCTCTTAAATTTTAGTTCTGAGTTTCACTGCATGTGCAGCAATGTGATCGGACATCCCACCATTCTACAGAATTTGTTACAGATAAATGGGCGAGCAAAATGCAGGTTCCTTCGATTTCATTATTCCGACCAGCACCTCATTTCATGACAGTGACAAACAAATAATTTTAAATAAAATGTCTACAAAAGATGAGGGTATTGCATTCAGTGCACTATTTATCAAAATAAAACCCTCAGAAAAAAAAGTAATTTAGTGAAAAGTTTACCAAATTCCATGAAAAAGAAATAGTCATTGCATAGCTGAATATACATTTTGATTCCCCTCTTCAACATTGTAAGGTTTTGTTTAAAGAACTGAGAGGAGGGGATGGAAAGGGTCAAAAGGAAGGAATGAAAAAGAGTAAGGACAAGCAGAGGTTGGG